CCCAGCAGGCACCTCAGATCCACAGCAATGGCTTTCTTAGGCTTTCAAAGCTGCCGTTTGCCAGCCCGCCCTCCAAAACTCTCCAAAACTCTCCAAATGCTCCAAACCCTCCAAAACCCGCCAAACCCTTCAAACACCGTCCCCAGCAGGCACCTCAGATCCACAGCAATGACTTTCTATGGGCCTCAAAGCTGCCGTTTGCCAGCCTGCAAAGGATCCAAACTTCCAAAATTCCAAACACCTTCCCCAACATGCACCCTAGGGCCAAGGCCACTTCCCCAACAGGCACCCCAGGGCCAGGCCACAGCAATTGCTTTCTTAGGCTTTCAAAGCTGCCGTTTGCCAGCCCGCAAACCCTCCAAAACTCTCCAAAACTCTCCAAACGCTCCAAACCCTCCAAAACCCGCCAAACCCTTCAAACACCGTCCCCAGCAGGCACCTCAGATCCACAGCAATGACTTTCTATGGGCCTCAATCTCCTTTTGCCAGCCTTGCAAAGGAGCCAAACGTCAAAATTCAAAAACACCTTCCCCAACATGCCCCCTAAGCCAGAACTTCCCCAACAGGCACCCCAGGGCCAGGCCACAGCAATGGCTTTCTTAGGCTTTCAAAGCTGCCGTTTGCCAGCCCGCAACCCCTCCAAACCTCTCCAAAACTCTCCAAACGCTCCAAACCCTCCAAAACCCGCCAAACCCTTCAAACACCGTCCCCAGCAGGCACCTCAGATCCACAGCAATGACTTTCTATGGGCCTCAAAGCTGCAGTTTGCCAGCCTGCAAAGGATCCAAACTTCCAAAATTCCAAACACCTTCCCCAACATGCACCCTAGGGCCAAGGCCACTTCCCCAACAGGCACCCCAGGGCCAGGCCACAGCAATGGCTTTCTATGGGCTTTCAAAGCTGGCTTTCTTAGGCTTTCAAAGCTGCCGTTTGCCAGCCCGCAAACCCTCCAAAACTCTCCAAACCCTCCAAACACCTTCCCCAACCGGCTGGAAAAAAACACGTATATGTATATCCGCCGACCCCGGTCGACCGCAAGGGGGAGCGCGTCAGGGAAGAGAGGTTGTGGACACCAAGAAATACAACAACGGGTCACGGATCAGCAGCAGCAGCAAAAGCCTCTGCAGCAGCAGGAGGAAAAGGTAGCCAAAATTCATAGCAGCAGCAAGAGGAAAAAGTAACCAAAATCATCATTTTCTATGCGTTTTCGCTAGGCATTTACGGGGTGCAATTTTGGGGTTTCTCCGTCCTTCACTGCCATGGTGTTTTCCCATCCGGGGACCAGCAGCAGCAGCAGCAGCAAAAGCTTCTGCAGCAGCAGGAGTAGGCAGCAGCAGGCAGCAGCCAGCACCAGCAGCAAAAGCCTCTGCAGCAGCAGGAGTAGGCAGCAGCAGGCAGCAGCCAGCACCAGCAGCCAGCAGCAGGCAGGAAAAAACATGAGGTTACAATGACAGTCCTAAAAACGGAGGGTCCTTGACACTCAAAGTATATATCAATCCATCCGTCTTTCTTCCTATGCCACTATCTATCTATCCAACAATCGATCTATCCATCTGTTTATCCAACTGTCTATCTACCTATCTGTCATCTATCTCTCTCTCTCTCTCTTTCTCTCTCTCTCCCTCTCTCTCTCTCTCTCTGTCCCTCTATCTATACATCTGTCCAACAATATCTATCCA